GCGACATAGTATATACGAGTGCGGTGATCTGTTTGGGATTATCTTCGATTCCTCTTTCTGTTACTAGGTACCCGAGGAATTCTCCTGAAGCTACCCCAAAGGTGCATTTGGTCGAATTTAGCTTCATTACGAATTTTTTGAGGATTTGGAAATATTCTTGGAGTTGGAGGACGTGGTTGTCTGCTTTCGATGACTTGACGAGCATGTCGTCAATATAGACTTCGATCGTTTTTCCGAGCTGATTGGCGAACATTTTGTTCACTAGTATTTGGTAGGTGGCTCCTGCGTTCTTCAGTCCGAAAGGCATCACCTTAGCAATAGGTTCCACGTTCGGTGATAAAACTTATTTTCTCCTGGTCCTCTGGATCCATAAGGATCTGATTGTAACCGGAGAAAGCATCCATAAATGATAGCAGTTCGTGTCCGGCTGTGGCTTCTATCATCCGGTCTATATGTGGCATTGTGAAGCTATCTTTTGGACATGGTTTATTGAGATTGGTGAAATCGATGCAGATTCTCCATTTCCCATTCTTCTTTTTCACCACGACGGCATTGGCCAGCAAGTCCGGGTACTGGACCTTGCGGATGGAACCGATCTTGATGAGTTTATCGATTTCTTCGTCTATAGCCTTCGAACGTTCGGGGCCCAATTTCCTTCGCTTTTGCTTGACTCGTCTGTGAGTGGGATCGACGTTCAACTGATGAGATGTTACCACAATGTCTATCCCAGTCATATCGGCGGCCGTCCAAGAAAATGTCTTAATGTTTTCTCTAAGAAATGATAATAAGTTATGTCTTATACTTGAGGGGAGGTCATTTCCGATATCGACACATTTGTTGGGAAATTGTTCGTCCAGTGGGATCGAGCTCAATAAGCTTTCTTTGTTTTTCTTGATCGCGAGTAGATGAGATTTTCTTTTCTCGCGGATGCTTTTTCCGGAATTTTGCCAGCTAGCAGGCTCTAATTCTCTTCTGACTGCTATAAATCGTTCTCTCTCCGGTAGGTGACATGAATTTCACACATTGGTGATAGACTGACGAGATCGCCATCATTTTATGTAGCCACGACCTCCCCAGAATGACGTCGAAATGCATAGGGTGTTCGGAGACGGCAAATTTGGATTTTAATTCCAAATCTTGGACTCTGGTTGTGATGGATACGGTCTCTGAGAATTGCACTTTTCGGCCGTTAAAGTCGATGTGGAAATCCATCTCGCGATGGACGGTGCAGCTACCTTGATCTATCAATCGGAGCGTGTCTCAAGGTATGTTATTGCCGGCGCTGCCTGTGTCAATGAAGGCTCTTGTTAAGGTTACTCCGGTGAGATCAATTGTAATGATCAGGGCGTCGTCATGTTGCATATCGAGTTTAATGTTTCGTGTTCGTAAAAAGTTAGCGTTTCCTTCTGGGCCGGAGTCTCCTTCGTTGGTTCCTCTTTCGGCCTTTAATGACTGTCAATCCTTCGGGGGGGATATTGTTTCTCGATGCGGAGCTCTCCTTTTGTACGGGCTGCCAGTATCGTTGTCAGATGGTCGCGTTTTCTCTGATGGCGTGATGACAGCGGCCCCCAAAGAATCGCGTTCGACTGCTTTTCTTTTAGGATATCCAGATCGGATTCGGTTAGGATCCATAATCGTGCTTAGAAATCCTAGATCGGGTTCTTAGCAAGGGCGTCTTTCGTTTATCTTCACCACAGTCGGCGCCAAAATGTAGATCCTAAAATCCACACTCAATATTTTATAGAGATCGAGAGTTCAATCCGGGGAAGACAAATAATGTGGGTAACGATGCTCTTAAACACAACGATATAATCGGACTTCGGTTAACAAAAATGGACTTTTATTGAATATGGAATTCCTTTACAAGGTGATGAACAAGATTAGAAAAAACAACGAAAAGTAGAAGAAAGCGAACTAGAAATCTATAAATGAGGTCGATGTAATTGGTGAGTAGCTCTAGGGTTTTTCCCGTGTGTGTTGAACTCCACTCTAGCTTCCTTTTATAGTTCTCTCTTCCTCTAACTGTTTCCGCGATCTCCGGAGTCTCCTCTCGATCTCGTATCGTTCGTCCACCACGATGCGACCCTATGACATGGGCCTGGGCCTCATTATTATCACTGGCCTTGGCCTCGTTCTCGCTTTATTCTTTGGCTTCCTTGCGGGCGCATTTGCTTACTTATTCGGTGGACCTCGAGTTAATGGGTCCGATTTTGGGTCCAACACTACCCACTGAAACTGCCTTTTTGTGTTAAAACTCGGAAACAATCCTACAGTATAAAAAAGTCTACAAAAAATCGATATTTTTGCAATAGAGGTATATATTTGAGCTATGGTGTGTTGGTTTTTTATTCGCTTTTATTTTGTAAGAAATTATTGTAGCCAAGTAACCTATAATTACTTTTAATTTTCTTATTGTAGTTAATAAAAATTCAGTTCGTGTCAAATATATTTTGTACCATTACTTATAATTAATTAATATCTTATAAATCTATACATCATTGAATATTTATGCCGCACATAAACATATTTAAGGAATAATTATATATTATATATATGTAGCTTTGAATATTTTGAATTACTTAAGGCATCTCCAACCAGCCCCTTCATTTTTATGGGGTCCACCCTTAAAATAATGGGATAAGGGGATAGTTCTCCAATGGTGTCTTTTCAAATATTTTCTCTTATTTTATAGTTTAGTCTTCAATTTTATTAATAATTAATTATAATCATTAAACTTTAATAATTAAACAATAAATACATACTAATATATGATATTGACAAAATTAGTAAATACATTTAGTAATAACACCAGATTATTTATAAAAAACCTTAAATTTCATATAATAATAAAACCCTTACAATTTCAAATTACAAAATACATTTAAAATACAAAACTAATCAATACGATTATTTCCGTAATGTTGCCATATATCCTCAGTCAATGCATTTTAAGTGAGAAATGAGCTTCCTTATTTTTAATCCGAAGATTACGTGCTAAAAATTGTTGAAAACGCATATCTTTATTTATGGTCATTTCAACATTTATTAGTGGTGATGGTCTTGCATCTCGAATCGGTGCGTTGATATCTCATTCATCTTCAGTGATAATGTTATGCATTATGTAATACCTCTTTCTTCCAATAACAAGAGGATTCTGTGACGATAGAAAATTTGGATTGTAGAACTCCAAAAGCTCGTTCAACATCTTTCCGACATGATTCTTGTCTTGCTCCAAACAATTTTTTCTTTGGACCTTCGGATCACTTATTGTTTGGAAAATTGTTGACCATTTAGGATATATACCGTCAGCCAAATAATAACCCATGTTATATTTTTGGCCTTGAATTGTGTAATTCGCTGGAGGAGCGGTACTTTGAGCAAGCTTGGAAAATAATTTGGAAGACTTCAGAACATTGATATCGTTGTTGGTGCCCGGCATTCCGAAATAGGCATGCCATATCCATAGATCATAATCCGCAACCGCTTCAATAATTATCGTGGGTGATCCGTTATGACCTGCAAATTGTCATGCCCATGCAGTTGGACAATTTTCCACTTCCAGTGCATACAATCAAGACTGCCTAACATTCCTGGAAATCCGCATTGTTGGCTAATACTGAGAAGTCTGGAAACATCCTCTGATGCTGGTGACCTAAGATACCACTCTGAAAACACAGATACAATTGCATGACAAAATATTTTCATGCATTCAATTTCTGTAGACTCCCCTGTTTTGATGTATTCATCGGTCGCATCGGCAGGCATGCCATATGCCAAGATCGGAAAAGCAGCTGTCACTTTTTGTAAGGTTGATAATCCAAGTCTCCCTAATGCATCATGTCGTTGGTTGAAGTAGTTTTCATGTTTCTTAACAGCATAAACAATGTGAAGAAATAACCATCGTGACATTCTAAATCGACGATGAAACTCTCTTTCACCATACACATGATTATCAGAAAAATAATTATTGTACAAATTACGATGAGCATTTTCTCTATCACGATTAATAACTGTGTGTCCGACAATAGAACCACAGTGACTTACATGATTATTTTCTTGATTGAGCAGTTGAATAAGACGATTATTGTTGATAAAAAAATTTACAGCAATTTGTTTTTCTCTCTCTATCGCCTCATTTTCATCAGTAAGCCATTGATCAAACTCAGATGAGTCTGAAGAAGAAGAATTTTGAAAAGATGAATCTTCGATATTAAAGTTCATTTTTATCTAAAGTTGTGTTGATGTATTATTTGATACAAGCATATCTATATATAGAAATAGGTATTACTACTATGTCTCATCAACCATTAAAATAAAGCTTTATTATTTTCCTATCCAATCTTCAACCTCCAGCCATATCCAACATCCAACCATATTCAATTGATCACACCATTCAATATTGCATTCAATAAATTTCATGTTTCATCAACCATTAAATGGAATTTTGTCATTTTCCTTTCCCACCTTCAGCCATATTCCATAAATAAGATAACCCCCAACCATAATTTATTTCACTCATTTGGATTATTTATCTATTTATTTTGTGTATAAATAATAGACTTTACCAAATGGAAAAATCACACTTTACCCACCATTCATTCGTTTCTTTTTCTTGTTTACAAAATGGAAAAAAGTATAGGCACATCTTCAACCAACAGGAATATGATTTGTTATGTCATGTCTATTTAGAAATTTCACAAGATCCCATTGCTAGCAACAATCAAACTCTGAAAACATTGTGGGAAAAAATAGAAAAAAAAGTTATAATGAAAAAAAGAGAGTTCAGAAGTTAGAAGTCCTAGGTCTTTAGAAGGTAGAATGGGTAATATTTTGTATGCTGATAGAAACTTAAAGAGTTGTGTGATCCAAGTGCAAAATATGCATCCAAGTGGTGCATCCGATCAAGACATTGTAAATATGAATTATATTAGTATGTGTTATTTAATTTTATTAGTGTTTAATATGAAATCAAGTTTTTTTTAATTACAAAATATTTGCAGATGGAGAAAGCAAAGAAATTATTGATGCAAGACCCAAAATTGAAAAAAGGTTTTAAATTTGATCATGTGTGGCTTTTGATGAAAGATATCCCAAAGTTTTCAGATAATGTCAATATCGGTATTCCGGATACTGAAAGTGATACCGTCGGTTTTCCAGCATCACAAACTCCTGAATTTTCTTCATTCACAATCAATTTAAACAGTGATGATGGTGGTTCAAATTCGTCACAACGTCCTATTGAATCAAAGAAAGCAAAACTCAAAAGAAAACTTGATGAAGATAATACTTGTATGGATAATTTGGTTTCATCAACTGAAAAAATTCTGAATTTCTTGAAAGAAAGTGCATCATCTAGGGAAAAAAATAATGAGATGGTTCTGTTACGCATGCAAAAAAAATTAGCTCTAAAAGAAAACAAAATATTGTTGACAAATTTAAACTTCATTGATGATATTAACACTCGCCAATTTATCTGATATGAACAAGCACGAATCATACAAAAAAGAACTCAGCAACAACAATCTGAAGAGACTGCTCCAAATTTATATCGACAGTATTTTGGTGATTTTTAAGGTTCGAGACCAAATTTATCAGAATTTTATATATATTGTAATGTGTAATATTCCAGCTTATGTGTAATATTACAGCTTATTTTAATGTGTAATATTTCAGATTATTATTTTAATGTGTAATATTTTAACTTATTATTATTATTTAATGTGAATTTTATAAGATTATATTATAATATTTAAGTGCTAATATAATTATAAGATTAAAATACAGCATAAAAATAATTAGTATGCAATCATTAAACATGCATAAATAGATGGACCAAAATGAAAAGTGAATAGTAATTTAAAGGATGAACAGTGCACCCTCAAATTTGAGGGTGTACTCTTCACCCCCTTAAAATTTGAGGGGATAAGGGTCCATTAGAGTGCAAAACCCTTCAAAAATGAGGGGGTAAAGGCCTCTTGAAGATGCCCTATGTGGTTTCGTACACCATACACCTAAATATTTTTATTAAGGTAAATTATTTTTAAAATCAATATTTTTTATAATTAAAAAGAAAAAGAAAAAATATTATTTTTAATAACTTAATTAATATTTAATATTTTCAGTTAACTTTAGGAAAACTAGTCAACTTTCTTTTATATTTACATTTAATGTATATACTTATATATTTGAAACTATATTTTGGGAAGTTTTAATCTAGTTATTTTAGTTAAATAAATTAAATAAAGTTGTAGAATATTTTTAATAATTTAGCTACAAAAATTTAGAATTATATAAAAATGGAAATATTATTTAAGAAATTGACATATATTAAAAAGAAATAATGATATTACAATTCAAAGTATATACTTAAGAAACAGAAAATTGCATAAAATTATAAGTAAATTGTATTGTAGAAGGTAGGTCGTCTGCAAACTTAATGGAACAGAAGAGAAGATGATGGGTGCGATGAGTCTCCGTAGAAGCTTATCCGCTTTACATGCATAATGTGAAGCTTTGATATGGGCTATGGAGTGTATGTAGACCCTAAATTTCTCAAACGTAGTTTTTGCAACAGGCTGTTCTCAGTTGGTGAAGATGGTGTCCTCACCCGAAGAATGGTCAGCTTTTGCTACACATTTGGAGGAGTTCAAAAGAAGTAAGATTTTATTCCCTACCTTTTCGATCCGACATAGTTCGAGGGAGCATAATCTAGTGGCGGACAAGCTTGTATGTAGTGCTTGATGTTCCCCTTCTGCTATGTTTCTATGTCAATGGCTCCGGCGTAGTTCTCCGCACCGGCAATGCACACAGGATAGTTTAGTTATGTTGTTGTCACAAAAATAAAAAGGTAGGTCGTCTTCTAGGTAGCCATTATTCGGAATCAGTTCCAAAAGTGAGAAACAAGATATCTAATAAATGTCTCTACGCTTGACTTTATATCCAAAGTTCCAGGATTTCAAATATATTGTGAACAAGAATCATACCCGAATCAGAGAGAATAATACCCTTAGGGAATTTGAGTGAATCGTGGCACAATTGATTACGTGATAAATGAAAGATAAAGAAGTTCAAGAAAGAAAAAAAAAAGATCTCGTCCTTAAAGGTGTCGCAAACTATTAAGGGCCTCAAATCTTTAGCCGGTCCGAAGAATATGTGTGCAAGAGAACGAAACTGATGGTCAGTCAACTGGCTTTGATCTCTCGACAACAAAGGACATGAAACAAGGAATCAAAGTTAGTCTCGCTCTGTTGACACGACCAGTCAGATATTTCAGACAACTACAACATTCACGGAAGCAAGTTGAGAGAATCTCAAGTTCTTCGTGATCGAATGAACAAGCGGGATGAGGCGATATCAGTGACGGGAAACAACATAGAAAGGTATAAAAAGAAGAAGAGGATGAGAGAAGCGGGACGTTCATTCCCACATACTCATTCGGACATTGAGATCTCACTAAAAGACTTTAACCTCACTTTGTTAACTCATTTTATAGTTCTAGTTTCAACCTTGTTTCTGTGAGATTTGGTAGAATTATGAGAGTTTATATGAAGAACTTGTAAGAACAGTAGAGAGAGATGAAAGATTCCAATAGAGAGAAAAAGAGAATGAGGAGAATTATTTTCTTGATTGTTTCAATGGTGGCTACAAGATAATATATTTATCTTTCTAGGGCAACTAACATAAACAAATTTACTATTAAGCCCCTAACTCTTTTCCTTTATCATGCTAACACTCCCCTTCAAACTTAACCATATGAACTAGTCAAGCTTGTACACCATGAAGCATTATTTCATTAAAACCTTAACCTGGAAAAAAAATCATTTTGGATAAATATCAAATCAAGGAAAAAGAATAGAACACTTCATAGTCAAGGGGATCAGTGTGATGGGAGCTCTATGAGTCCAAGCTTTGGGTAAATGAACTCACACACTTTAGTGCTTTCTGCCTTGGTGAAGATATCAGCCAATTGATCTCTACTTCTTGTGTAGCAAGGAGGATGATTTGCTGCTCCACTGCTTGTCTAACCTTATGACAATCCACCTCAATGTATTTGGTCCTTCCATGGAATACATGGTTAGATGCTATGTGAATTGCTACCTGGTTGTCACAATGCATAGTGATAGGTGAGGTTGTTTCTATACCCAAGTCTTTCAGTAGTCCCTTGATCCATATGAGTTCACTAGTAAGTTTTCTCATAGATCAATGCTATGCTTCAGCACTTGAACAAGACACATCTTCTGCTTCTTGCTCTTCCAAGTCACCAAATTTCCTCCTATAAAGGTGCAATAACCGGTTGTTGACCTCCTGTCAACTCTTTCACTAGCCCGCATCACAATATCCCACAATCTTTGTACTCTTGTTGCAACCCATTTATACTCCTTGCACTGGTGCTTCTCTCAGATATCTCAAGATCCTTTCCACCATATTCCAGTGGTGTATCTTGGGATTTTGCATGTGCTGACTGACTTGGTTGACTGAAAAGCTCATGCCTGATCTAATGATGGTAAGGTAGATGAGTTTCCCAACCATTTTCTTGTAGTTTTTAACATCTCCATAGGGTTTGTCCTCAAACTCCCCCTTACGTAACACTTTATAGCCCTCTTCCAGTGGAGTCTTTGCTGCTCTTCCTCCAAGATCACTTGCCTAACCCAACAAATCAAGTGTGTACTTTCTTTGGGATAAGAACAGCATCTTTAGATCAACATATCTCAAGCCCCAGAAAGTACTTTAGCTCACCCAAGTCTCTAATATCAAAGAAAGATTTAAGAAAATTTTTGGTTAAGGTGATATCTTCCTTGTCACTTCATGTGATAATGATGTCGTCCACATATATGAGGATGACCTCAATGCCTCGTAGACTAGTGAGGGTGAAATGAGCGTGATCAGCTTCGGACTTGAAGAATCTTCTTCATTTGAGAGTTGTACCTAACTTATGATACCATGCACTTGGTGATTGTTTTCAACCCATATATTGCTTTATTCTGTCTAAGCATATTTCTTGGTTTGACAAGGTGTTCTAGATCTGGAGGTGGTCTCATGTAAACCTCATCTTCAAGTTCTCATTGTAGAAATGCATTCTTGACATTTATCTGCCATAGATCCCATTCCAAGTTGGCTGCCAAGGACAACACAATTCTTATGGTGTGGAGTTTGGCAACTCGAGCAAATGTGTCATGATAGTCTTCACATATGTCTGAGTAAATCCTCTTGTAACCAGCCTTGTCTTTTTCCTTTCTGGTTTGCCATTTGCTAGGTACTTGATTGTGAAGATCCAACGGCTTATTACTGCCTTCTTGCCTTTGGGAAGCTTAGCCCCATACCAAGTATCATTGACTATCATAGCATTGGTTTCATTTCCAACAGATTCTCTCCACTCTTCATGCTCCATTGATTCTTCATATGACCTTGGGATATACTCTTGATCCAGTTCACTGATAAAAATAGTGTTTTCTTGAGGATAATGTGCCAATGAGCATGTAGCTTGTATAGGATGAGTAACTACATTGTTGTTGAAGTACACTTTGGTGTTTACCCACTTGGATGGTTTCTTCACCCTTGTAATTCTTCTCAATGGTTGTACTTCTTCTTGCATTCCATCTTGATGATGGACAACTGAGTTGTGGACAGCTAAATCATGTACAGCTGAATCATGATTCAAATTGTGGACAACCGAATCATGGAATGCTTGTGAATCATGGACAGGTAAATCGTGGAAAACTAAATCGTGGACAGTCAAATCATGAACAGTTGAATCATGGATAGTCAAATCATTGATAGTTGAATTGTGGACAGTCAAATCATGGACATTTGAATCGTGGAAAGCTTGTGATTGATGTTGATTTCCCCCCTCATGATCAGGATGGACTGCAACTACAACTTCTTGAGGAGTATGAGGTACCATGGTTTCCTTGCTCTCCTTAGGTTGACTGATTCCAAGTCTTTCCAAGATGATTTTCAGGTTATTTGCTCTATTTAAGGCTGATTGGGATAAATTCTTCAGTTCATCCCAACTCTTTTCATCATAATAGCCTCTGGATTCTACAAAGTTGACATCCCTAGATATCAAGACTCTTTTAGTCTCTGGTGAGCAACACTTGTGACCCTTCTGACGAGGAGAATACCCAAGATACATTGCTTTTGTACTTTTAGGTTCCAATTTATTTCTCTTCTTACCTGGAACCAAAACAAAATACAGACACCCAAACACATGCAAATGATCTATAGAAGGGCGGTTCTTATTCAGTACCTCCTGTGGATATTGATCATGAAGGATTCTGGTGGGTATTTTGTTGATTAAGTAACAAGCTGTTATCCCCGCATGTCCCTAGAATCTCTTTGATACATTTGTATGGAAGATCATGCTCCTTGCAACCTCCATGAGGTGTCTGTTCTTTCTTTCAGCCAAGCCATTTTGTTGTGGGGTGTATGGAAAACTGGTTTGGTGGATCACCCCATGCTTTGCTAGGCGTTGTTTGAATGCACTGCTGGTGTATTCGCCTCCATTATCTGATCTAAATTTTTATATCTTGGAATGATAATGGTTAGTGATATAGGTTTGAAAGTTTATGAATGTTTCTAACACCCTATCCTATGATTGTAGTAGTGTGATCCAAGTGTATTTTGACTTTTCATCTATGAAAGTCACAAAGTATTTATGATGTTCTCTAGATGCACATTTCTCTAGATACACATTGAGCAGTCCACACATCAGAATGCACTAAATCAAAGCAATTTTCATAGATAGTAGTAGATTTAGGAGATAAAGACTTGCAATGTTTTCCTAAGATACAAGCCTAACAATCATTCTTCAAAGAAATACTAGGCAACATAATGTTTAAGGCACGAGAATGAGGATGGCCTAGTCTAACATGCCACATTACTTCTTTAGGAAAATCTGAACTAGAATTTAAAGCAATAGATAAATCAGATGCAAGTTTGGTGTCTTCAAGTAAGTACAAGTATCCCTTGGTTACACCTTTACCAAGCAACCTACTAGAATTAATATCCTGAAAGTAGACATCGTTAGGTGTGAAGGTAACATTGCAATTTAAGTCAGTAGTTGCTCTTTTAACAGATAACATGTTTGAGGTGAAAGTAGGCATATAGAAAGCTTTGGATTCTTTATCAAACAACCTAAGATCACCTACACCTTTAATTGGTACTCATTCTCCATTAGCTACCATGGCATTTCCTAAAGCAGGGACTATGTTACTAATCAAATTTAAATCACTGATCATATGATGACTAGCTCCAAAGTCTATAACTTAAGGTTTTATCAATCTAGAACTGGTTACGTCATTCACAGCAATATTACAAGTTAAAGCATTTAAAGAAATACCAAAATTGTTACCACAGTTTTCTTTGAAGGCTTTGATGAGAGAATCAAGGTCAGACCTCTTGATGGTTTCATTTTGAGTGGTCTTCAAGGAGGAGTAACTGGTGGATGGTTCACTCATTTCACCAGAGAAGTGTGCCGTTGCATCATTGTATGGTGTTCTGAACTCCGAGCTTTGAGAAGAGGATGTAGTATCCAGCACTTGTCTTTGCCATGTCCCTTCTTCTTGCAGTGATCACAAACCCATATCTTCTTTTCTTTAGGTTTTTAGGCTCCCTTGTTTGCAACCCCCTCAGCTTGATTTGCTAACATCAGTTCTTCTTTTCCTCCAAAAAGTCCCACTGAACCTTGCTCCTTTTGGATTTGAGCACACACGTCTTCTAAGGTTGGTAACTTCTCTGTTCTTAACATGTGCTTGATCAGGTCACTGTAACCTGAGTTTAGAGACAGAAGAAGGGCACATACCTTGTCTTTCTCACGCCGCTCATTCAGCACACTAGGATCGACACTACATGGTCTCAGCAACTCCGACTCAGCCCATAAAGCCCTGAACTTGCCAAAATGCTTGTTGAAATCTGTATCTTCTTGATGGAGGGTGTTGATAGCTCTATTAGCTTAAAATACTCTGCTCAGATTTCAAGTGTTGTTATACACCTTTTGAAGAGTGTTCCACAACTCCTTGGAAGTTTCACCGTAGGAGTAAGCTTCCAGGATTGATTCCTCAAAGCTTGTTTGAATGATGGACAACACCATGAGATCTTCCTAATCCCATTTTCCATCGCCAGCAACATCACTTCGTTACCATGCTCTCTTAGGCTGGTTTTCTTTGAAGATTTGTCATCTGTCACATATGACCAGAGTCCTCTTCCTCTTAAAGCAGTCTTGACCATAAGAGATAGTTAACTCCCTTGAAGGAAAAATAAGAGTAAAAGAAACAAAATTTGCGGAAGTAATAGAAGTGAGTACTGAAAATAAGGTCCAAGAACTGATATGCTCTAATACCATGTGAGATTTGGCAGAATTATGAGAGTTTGTATGAAGAACTTGCAAGAACAGTATAGAGAGTTGAAATATTTCAACAGAGAGAATAAAAGAACAAAGAAAATTATTTCGTTGATTGTTTCAATGGTGGCTACAAGATAATATATTTATCTTTCTAGGGCAATTAACATAAACAAAATTACTATTAAGCTCCTAATTCTTTTCTCTTTTTCTTTATCACGTTAACAGTTTTGAGCGTTAATGTTGTAACTTAATTAACAATCAATACAAATCCTTTTGCAGGTTTTTCATCTTCTACTTCTTCAAAATTTTCTTTCTAATTTGTAGAAAAAATAAACACTATTAAATATGTAGTATGAGTTTTAGGATCTAAACTAGGTTGAGACCCGCGGGGTGAGATGTCAAAGATATTAATAATTTGATAATATTTAGTATAGTTTAAATTTTAAATTTATGGAGAACTTTTTTTTTGTTTCGGGTCATTATGCACAACATTATGTATGAAGAAATTGTTGGTGAAGCATGCTTAATTATAAAAATAATTGGAGAAATAATTATGCGAGAATTGGTGTTAATTTGGAGAAATAATTTTATGAATGAATCATAGTACACTGTCTTAAATGGAAAGGTCCATACTATTTTTATTAGCCAAACATAACAAATTATAATTAGCCAAACATAACAAATTATAAAAAGCTGCATTTTATTATAAAAATCCAAACATAACAAATAATAAGAAAATGTACATATTACTCAAAAAAAGCCAAACAAAACAAATAGATAGATAAAGCTGAATAAATTTCTAAAAATCCAAACAGAACTCAATGCATAATCTTCCTCTTTGTCCTCAAAATGCAATGGCTGGAAGCCTGTAACCCATTAAAAAAATTTGTGAATAAGAGAAAGATCAATCATTTTTGTGGTGTAAAATGAAATAGCTAGAAAGATGATATATACCTATTCCTGAAAGCATGTATTTCTGGAATTTCAGGATTAAAAATAATCTTTGAACATCCTTCTAAGTTTGTGATGAACTTGAAACCACCTACGAAAGGTATTGTATAGACTTTTATTACAGAAAAAATATATTTAATCCATAGATTAGAATTATTAAAAGTATAAAGTAATACTTTACCTTCAGCCCACTTAATTTGCCAGAATGTTAAAACACAAAAAACAGCAGACCAAATATTTCTTGTTGTCCAATAATGATGCAGTTCTCTAGCATTACTTCCATAAGCAATACATCTTATTTGATAGTAGCTGTCATTAGTAACAGAAAACATTAGCTTCAATGCTTAGTTTCACTTTTAATACTGAATACGAATATTTGAAAGTAAAATATACATACTCTGGGTTAATTAGAGTGAAGACTATTCGTTCATCCATATCGCTAGCCCACTCTCCACCTCCATGTAATTCCCGAAATTCAAGCTCGCCAACACCTACAAGGGCTCCGTAAACATCTACAATATAAATGGAAACATTGAAAAGACCATTACATATGATCTCCATAACAAAAACTTGTGAATAACCCAAAATAAATACATGTAAAAGATTAAATGAAACAATAAAAATGAATAAGACATACAAATATAAGACATTGGATGAGCTAAGCCACGTAGAACTGCATTAATACTTTTAAATGCATAATGGTAGCAGTTTGTTATTGGCTCACTCTTGAAAATGAATGACTTCTCAGTGAGAACAATATTGAAGCGGTTCTTCATAATTTTGATTAATGCAGTACTGTGTTGTAATTTTAAATTACGAACCGCTAACCATTCACCTTCATTCATAATGGTTTCATATGACTCAGGAAAACCATTAAGAATAATACCCTGGATTGTTACTCCCTGAAAAATAAAATAAATTAGTAATCGAATGATAAGCAGAAAATCATAGTAATTATTGTTTTAATGTGAAAGCTTGCCTTCTCATCACAGAAAACAGTCTCTGCTTTGTGAATTCTTGATGCAGGATTCGGATTCCACTTACTGATCACCTTAAAACGGATCGTAGGGTTCTTAAGTGACATATTTAAAGCGGCCAAAAGAGAGAAGGGCGACATCACTATGAAAGAAGTACAATACGTTTGTTTGACTGCTAACATTTGTTTGGATACATTGTATATATATAGGCAGCGTATTCATAAGAGCTAAATCCTTGAATGTGAAATAATAAATAAGCGAATTCTTAATGAGAATCATTGAAGGATAAGAAGAATCAATCTTACAATTCTTAATGATTTAGCTCGGCATCTTTTGGTATGTAATGTTAGTATTAAGTATTAAATTTGAGTAGCAGATGCGTGGAAGGAAATATTTGACGCAATTTAATACGGTAAAAGTGTTTTATGACAGAGAATAAGAAAAAGGGGCAGCAATAGAAGCTGTCGATGAAATGAATCCAGCAACGTGAAAGGCAATAAGATATGTTAATAGACTTACAACCAGTAATAATATATCCTGCATAATTTTGTGTTATTGATGAGGTAATTCTTCTGTATTAAATATTTTTTTTAGTAATTACACTACAAAGATACTCATTTCCATGTTTCAAATAATTACGGATTGAAAACATAGATTACACATAATTTCGGAAGAGTGATTACTGAGATATTGTTTTGTGACAGTGAAATAACAAAACAAAATTTACTGAGAAATTATCTTTATGATTTTCATATTTAAAGAATTAATTTATTTATTTTGTATTTGTGCTAAGTAACAGATATTGCCCGATAACAATTAAATATATATCTGGTTTGTCATCAGATATTGAATAAACCAAAAACCGAAAGTATATAAACCGTAGCAAATCAAAGTAGATCATCTATTAATATAGTAACTAATTTTTATAAACCAATGTGCAGGTATACTAAAAAATATCGAACCGAAACCGAGCTGACATGAGAACTAAACAGTCCTATAGTATATAGTGAATTCATCTTGGGTTATTACACAATTTAAAATTAGAAAAACAATTATTGGTTATTGTAATATATTATATTTATAATTTTAGTTTATTTTTTTGTCATATTTGCATTATAAAGAATATGATAGTGAGAAAACCTACAAAAGAATGAAACTTTTTACGTGAAAGTGAAGTGTCTCAAATATAGTTATTGACGAAAGGTGGATGCAAGTAGAGTAAAAGGCAATAAGATGATATCTGTTTGATATGACTTATATCGAAGATATTGGTGAAGATATACGATATTAGACTTAAATTTGTTTAGATTCATAAACAAACTTCAAATCTCAAATACTAAACCAACTATTGACTTAATTCATCGCATGGTTTTCGTATTGTAAACTTGAAGAAAATCGGAATTGTAAGATCAATCTGGAAAGAGAGTCATATTGTATAAGTCAATAGTTTTACATGAAAAGAAAGACTTTTACTGATCTGAAAACTTATAAAAGGGATTTTAAGAAACCATGGTATATGGATATAGTATGATATATTAACTTCTTAAAATTAATTTCTTTAATATATCATGATATAAATAATTTCTTATTGAGTCCGCAATAGTAAAATAAAAATATATAATATTTTAAATTTATAGTACGTTATACCAAAGATCTTAAATATGTTTACTTTGGAATCAGATAAACTAAATTTTTCATTAAAATTAAGTATATTTATGATCTTTGGTATAAAACCGAATAAACCGAAAAGGTCACTACTTAAAAAAAACTGAAAAAGAAAAGGTCAGTACTTTCTCTTTTCGTATACTAACTATCTACTCTATTAAAATAGAATCCTTATTTTTATCTACTGATATAAGTTGTCATTTAAGTTTGGACTCTTTTTAGAATGCTACAAATAATACAAGTCATATAGTTGATTGAACTGCATTACTTACATTAAACCGGCGGTTATTTATGGGATAGAGTTTTGGGCTTACTTTTATTTTTATGGGATAGGTTTCGGTTTATGGGATAGGTTTTTGGGCTTAGTATTAAGGAAAAACTCCAAAAAACACATTGAATAAACTTTCCACTATAATGGATCAAAAAATCAATTACTATTTTCAGGTCCAAAAGTATTTAATATTTTTAACAAAACAAAATTGTCTATTATTAATCACTTCTTTAAATCATGTATTTTAAAACATGTTAATGTATTGTTTTATTGTAAATAACAATTACTCTGTTTTGATAAATTTTAATGGTAACTTTTAAATAGTTTATTGTTTTTTTTTCTTAAATAGTTTATTGATTTAAAAAAAAAAGTAAAGCAAAACCAAAAACCAAATCTGAAAACTAAAATCCAAAACCAAAATCTAAAAACGGAGGTTATATTTTTGCTTTTGTTTATTTACAAAATAAACTATTGCAATTTTTTTTTTAAACAAATTGTCATCTTTTCAGTTTTAAATTAGATGTTCGATTTTTTGGGATTTTTTTTTGTTGGTAATATCAGTTAAAACTAACTCAACGGATCTAAAAACTAAAAACTCAAACCAAAAGCTGAAAATCAAAAATAGAAACTTAAAGGTTAAAAACCAAATCTAAAAATAAAAACTGAAACTAAAAACTAATGCAAAACAATCATCACCACAAATTTTGGATTACTGATTTTATACCAAAACATACTTTAAATAAAAACAAAATCCAATTATATAAATTTTTAATCATAAAATTTTTGGAGAAGGAAGACTTACTTTTTCGAAATCTAGTTATACAATATTTTTGATATACCATATTAGAAATAATGATTCTAGAAGGTTCATAAACCAACTTCGAAATCTCAAAGACTAAACATAAAAAGGTTAGTACTTTCATCCTTTCTTGTATTGTAAACCTTCAGAAATTACAAATTATAAGTAAAATATGGAAACAGAGTCTTATTGTATAAGTCAATAGTTTTTCTTGTAAAGAAATACTTTTACTGATCTGAAAACTTGTGTATGAATAAAAAGTAAGTCTTCCTTCTCCGAAACCATAGAAACCATAGGAAGTGTCTTGGACTCCACAATAGCCAAAGGCAAATCATCTTTTGGTAACCTATATCAAAAACCAGAGATTATGAATAGAAACCTAAATCAGACAAATCTACACAAAAAAGTTAATCCAAAACACACTTACAATGCTAGAAAAGATTGGACCTCACTGGAGCATGATATTAATGGCGAGAAAAGACACATTGTATGCGTTTGATACACTTCGATCCTCTACACCAATATGAGATGTATGTTAGGAAGGTAGAGAAGCTACCATATGTATCTTTTATTCTATTAAAACCCAGCAAAAAAAAAGTGAACAATTTGACTACCTTTCCAAAACTTGTATTTAGCCAAACCTCAAGACACAGACAATAGATGCATCAAACCATGGATAAGATATATATACCTCAACTACGGAATGCTGGCATGTTAGTACAAAGGAAACAAAACTTCATTGTGATGGTCAAACAGATTCTGGAAAACTTCTTTGAATACAACATTCATGGTTGAATCTTGTGGTTTGCCATCCTTGTCGGTTATAAGAATCTTCAATCCTTTCCTAGACTTGACCCTAGAAACAGCCACGTATAATTGGCCATGTGAAAACACTGGTTTTGGTAGAAACAAACCTACATTTGCAAGTGTTTGACCCTGGCTCTTGTTTATTGTCATCGCAAACGCCACTTTCAATGGAAATTGCCTCCTCCTCATTTAATGACAGCTTCGAGTACGTTGGTGTTAATAGAATACTATGCAACCAGACTTTCTCTCCAACTCGTTTTCCTGTAATAACTCTTGCTCCAATAATATGAGAACCCAATTGAGTAATCTGCAACCGTGTACCGTTGCATAAACCATCGTTTGGATCGATATTCCTTAGTAACATCACCGGTGTACCGATTCTAAGTCTTAGAGAATGGCCAGGTAACCCTGATGTCTTAAAACTATTCAGAAACTCAGGAGAGAAAATCGAATCATCTTTGGATTTCAAATCAGATGGATCAATACTGTCTGAGCTTAAATAAATATTTTCCTCACCTGAAAATAAAAACCAAAAGAGGTATATGAACATAATATTAGTAATGAAAGAGAGTTATTCAATAAAAAAAAATACATACCTATCAAACGATCAAGCATATAGTTGTTAATAACATCCACATCTTCGTTGGTAGGACATAATATAGCTCTTCTTGAAAAATATTGGATCATTTGAATCCTTGAATGTATCCCCATAAACTTCAGAAACTATAGACTCAATTGGTTCACTGCACTGAGTGATCAAAAGATCTTTAGGAATATCTATCAAAGTTTCTCCATTATTCGGCTCATTGATCTTTCCATCTCCTAAGTGCAATATCCATTTTGAAAAATCTTTAATCTCTTCAGCTTCACACAGATTTGGCTCTGAACAAAGCCTCGTATTTTTTGTCAACTGCAAAACATTGAAAAACTTCCACAAATATGAAAAATTCAGTGAAGCCATCACAACATCAGCTCTATTTCCTTCGAGGAATAACTGGTAATATCTGCCTGAAATTACCACCAAAAACGACGGTTTTACCTCCAAAAGATCGCTCATCAGTAGTCTTCATAATATCACACAGTGTACGATCAAGAGCCTCAAAGCAATGTTTACTCATGATTGGAGCTTCATCCCAAATAATAAGATAAGCTCTGGAAATTAGTTTTTCCCGATGGCTTCCAGCTTCAATATTGCATGTGGAAAACTCATCAGGATTAATAGGAATTCCGAACCGTGAATGAGCTGTTCTTCCTCCT